GTTCCCCCCTCCTCTGTGTGTGTGTCTCTCTCTCCTTGATCTCCTCTGGGTTTGCTGTTTTGTTTTGGTTTGGTTTTTGTTTTGTTTGGTTTTTTTTTTTGTTCCTTCTTTTATTGGCAAGTTTTTGTTGCTGGTGGTGGCGGTGGTGGTGGCGGTGGTTGCTGTCCTAAGAAAACTTCCTGGGATGCGGATGGCGGCAGGAGGAGGGCTGGCCGGGAGGATGCTGCTGCATGTCTCAAAGTTGGGCTGTCGCTGGAGCACTTTGTTCCCTGTGAAACCAGAGTCCGGTCGCAGCCTGCTCGCTGGAGTCGCAGCCCGGATGAGTCATGGTTCCTCGCTTTTTAGGCCGGATTTTTAAAATTTTTTGTTAAAGTTGAAATTTCTTGCAAAAACAAAAAAAAAAAAGATTTTTTTTTTAATTCCAGCAGTTGGCTGAGGAGGGAGGAGGAGGAGGAGGAGGAGGTGTGCCTTGGCGGAGAGGTGTGTGCCTGCGTGAGTGCATATAGGGTATCCTTTATACACTGGCTCCGGTGGGGAAGTTGGCTGGCGGCATGGCCCCGGCGCGGTGCTGGAGTGGAGCCGCTCTCCTCGCTCGTGCCCACCTCTCCCGCTCCGCGCTCCCCGGCTGCCCCTGACAGCTCCGCTCCGCTCCGCTCCGTCCCGCCCTCCCGAGCGGGGCCGGCCGAGTGCTGCCCCCGCGCCGCGAGCGCCGCGCACCACCACCACACTTTCCCAAATACAAGGAAGTCGAGCGCCAGCGCCCCCGCGGATTGGCTACCCGCTGCGTGATTGACAGCACTGAAATGACTGGCTCAGGACGCCAGGCCCCCCTTCCGGCCGTTCCGATTGGTTGCTTTTTAATTTAGGCAAAGTGTCGTAGGAGCTTGGAAAGATGCCCCCCCGCCCCCTCCTTCCCCACACACCCACAGCCACCCCCTCCGCGCGCACACCCCTCCTCCTCTTCTCCTTCCCCCCGCTCCCCCCCCCGCCTCTTAACTCTTCATGCCCAGCAAATAAATCGGAGGGCTCCCAGCGCCACAGCAACTTGGGCAGGGGGGAGGGGGAGAAAGGGAATGGAGAGGTGTGTGGGGACAGGGGTGAAAGATGAGGGAAGAGAGAAGGGGAACCCCCCCCCCACACACACACACACTCTGTGATAAAGCATGGATTGGAGTTGCATGCACTAGAGTCCCCTCATGGGCACCTAATTCCCCTCATTTGTAAGCAGCCATTGTCTATAGGCTGCAGTCTGCATCATTCAGACAGTCAACACCTCCAGAAAGAAGTGTCCTCTCACGTTGCAAAGTTTTGCCTTTCATTTATTTCCCTCTTGTTTAGATCTCCAAAAGCGGTTTTGGGTGGAGTTTTTTTTTGTGTGTGTGTGGCCAATACACATCTCCATAGCGATGATCAATTAACCGATCTTAGGCTGCAGCTAACATGGCAAGTTGTTCCCTTAATGACACGCAACCCGCCCCGCGCTCCTTTGTTTTAGTTTGCGAGTTGCCCTAGACTGACGGAAACTACGCTGCAGCTCCTCGGGCTTTGCACACCTCTGTGCACACGTGCGGGTCGCTGCTTCGGACCCAGAAGGGTTGGGACTGGGCACAGCACCCCATCCAGCACAGCTCGAGCGTAGACCCACGTGCATGTTATGAAAGATGTTAAACCTGAATGCCTTCATTTGAGGGTGGGGGGAGAGATCAAGAATGAATCCTTCAGGTCCACCAAACAATCATTTGCCCCATGTCCGTGTCCTACCGGTCTGTTTATATATGCACATACATCTGTATATGTGTGTGTATGTGTATGTAATATATGTATATGTGTGTACGTATATGTATGCGTGTGTATATGTAGCATATGTATATTTGTGTATATATATGTGTGTGTATGTACTATATGTATATGTGGAATGTATATGTATGTATGCGTGCGGGTAGATGCATACTCCATATATATATATTTTTACTCTCTAAGCTGTGGTATTCCACAGGAAACCGAGCTGGTTGTATGAAACGTTTTATTATTTCTAGTCCAGCTGAAAGAGTTAAGGGGGGCGGGGGAAGGAGAGAGAGAGAGAGAGAGAGAGAGAGAGAGAGAGATGCGACCAAGCGGAAACGCTGCTCACAGGCAACCTCAGTGAACCAAGAAAAAAGAGAAAGTGGCAACCAAAACAAGGGCAAATTGAACACTCCTCGGGGATTTCCAATGAAATAACACAATTCGGACATTCAAGGAACACATCTTTACTAATGATTGTGTTGGTGTGGTGCGATCCACACACGTTACCGAGCATACGCACCCATAATATAGAGGCATATATGTATATATGAATCTCGTGTGTGTGTGTGTGTGCGTGTGTATGCGTGTGCATGAGTGTGTGTGAGCGCGCGGGTCTATAGATAGCAAAACAGCATTATGTTTACATCCAAATGTGAAACACAGACGCCCCTCCCTCCTCTCCCACTTAATTTCAGCCCGGAATTCAGCTTAGTTCAATTCAGTTTCCAGCCCAAGCCCAATAGCAAGTATGCAGCATTTGCGTGATCTGAAGATTAACTGTAGACTGGCAGAATTTATTTAGGACTCGGTCCAGGTCTTGCTTGCACGGTAAAAGATACCACCGTAGGTAGGTTTAGAAAAACCATTAATGTGAAGTATACAGATCTGAAGAGCAATGGTAACTAAACCCTAAACATAACGATTTTTTTTTTGTTCCCATGCGTCCTCCAAAGGTTTCTTTTTTATATATAAAAGATCTAACACAGATTTCATTGAATAAATGAGATCTCCAGGTGCAGGCGTCTGAATAGTCAGTGCCAGAACCCCATGTTTTCCTTTCCAGCCGATTTTGCTTGGATCAGGCTCAAAAACCGAGTGAGTCTCGTGGTTTTGTTTACACTGAATGGGGAGGATAGGAACGGTGCCATGGGGCCGTCTTTCATTAATATACAGTGAGGATTTTGTCTAAATTACTGCTATGAATTTCACAGTACACGCTTTCAAAAGCCGTCTCAGGTGGCCTGATGAAACGTGATAGCGCCTCTGCAAACAGATCTACTTTCTTAATAAAAAAAAAGGGAAGAAGAAAAGAAAAAAAAAGAAATCCTAAAAAAAATATTGTACACACGCACAAAAAAAGAGCTAGTGCTGGAGTTTTGTCTTTTATTTGTTTTAAAAAAAAACTTAGTTCCCCAACTCTCGCCCACCCCCTCCCTCGCAGAGTGTGATTGTTTTGTCTGGAAAAAAATCCAAAGTATAACAAGGGGAGAACAGTTAGTGCTGATTTTCATTTGCATAAATTTTCATATATTTTGGTGAAAATAATAGACTAGTGGAGAGCTGGGCTTAGTGGAGTCAGTGCAAAGGAAAATCTTAGCATGGATGGTTTCGCTGGAGTTGAGAACATGCTTTTTTCCTTGTCACCTATTAAAATAATTCTTTTTTTAAAAAAAATTCTCTAAATCCTGGAAGTTTGGTCGGTAAGTGTTTGTCATTTTTTTCTCTATTTTTTGTTTTCTTGAAAGCCTTCTGAATATATTTTGGAAAGCTTAGGACAAGACAGGGAGCCCGTGGCAACTCTCTAGAAGGAAACAAGCTGTTTTAAAAAAAGCCCACCAGGAACAAAAAACACCTTAGTGAAATATTACATTAAAAAAAGCATGGATTCATTCCAAAAGCTCAAGGCAGGAAAGCAATTCTTTAGTACTGGAAAGTGTTCTGGTTCCTACTTTACTTTTCTGGGCACTGTTAATTATTGCAGCACTAGTGCTCAAGGAAAAAAGAAAAACTAGAGCCCTAGAAAATATTACAGATCCTAAAGATTGAAGGATGATAAATATTTATTGTTTGCAAACCCTTCTTAAGGAGAATCTCTTCCGAGGCTGGGGGAGCTAAAGCAGCTTTAAACAGCAGTAGAGGGCTAAGGGGACAAGTGAAGAAGGAGAGAACTGGACACCTGCTGAGAGAGCTGGGGAGTGAGAGAAACCAGTGTGGTGCTGGGGGAGGAAGAGGAGAAGGTGGAGAGCGGTGGTGCGCACAGAGGGTTAATATTGTAACTAGGGAACAGACGGTTAAGCACAACATCTAGAGCTCTGTAGTGAAAGTCCATCAGAAAGAGTATAATCAATCAAAACTAACCAGGACATCCCTTCATTTTATTCTCAAAGGAGATTGGAGCCTGAGCATTACAAACCAGATTTCACTTTTTCTCCCCCCCCCCTTTTCTGACAGCCTTTCGCGTCCCTAGATCCACTTTCCCTGAATCCCATCTAATTGAGAGGTATAGCCTAATGATCTGCAACTCT